GATGCTCGTGTATTTTCACGTGTATTCCAGGGATTACTCTTTCTTCTTTTGTAAAAAAAAAAAAAAAAGCTTATAAATATTTTGTCCAAAAAAAATCAGATTGTTCATCTTTTTATTGTTCACATTTTTATTGTTTATGAAAGTTCTTTGTACAGTAGATAATAGGTAATGTCCTTTGTGTGCTATGATTATTTTTTCCCAGCCTGTGGCTCATCTCCATTTTTTACTGGTGTCTCTTAATAAAGTCTGATTTATCAAGTTTTTTTCTTCGAGGTTGGTGTTTTCTATCCTGTTCAAAGCTGCCTTCTGTGGGCTGGTAAGATAACTCAGCGATCTAAAGCGCCTGCTTAGGCAAGCTTAGGCAAGCACAGGGACTGCAGTTTCCTAGAACCACATGCTGTGCCGGCCCCGCCCCCAGGATGGGCTGAGCTGGCCACAAAAACAAACAAACAAACAAACAAACAAACAAAAACAGAAAGAAAGGAAAGAAAGAAAAGCAAGCTGCCTTCCTCATGCTCATGAAAATGGTTTCCTATGTCATTTTATGAGCTCTGTGCTTCTGGGCTAATGTCTGGGCTTATTATGTGTCTCACATTGATGTGTGTGTGTATGTAGGTGTGAGTGTGTGTGTAAGGAGACAGCAATTGGGGCTTGCTTTCCCACACAGATGGTCAGCTGTCCAAGCCAATCCCACTGATGTTCCCTCCCCAGTGGGTGGACCTGGAGCTCGGCTGACCCCATGCTCGCTGTCCTCATGGCCATGGCTCTGCGGACAGGCATGAGCTGAGTCAGCCCAGGTTCTACGGACAGGCATGAGCAGAGCCAGCCCAGGATCCACCGCTCTGCTCTTCTAGCCTATTGTTTAGCCAGGCCAAGTTTTCTCTGTTTCCAGTCTGTTTCTATGTTAAGAAAATGAACACTGTGCTTGTGCTTGGGTCGAGTGGTGCCTTCTGGTTAATTTGGAGAGCAGCACCAGTGTGGGCAGTCTGCACCCAGAGTGTGGGGCACCCTGGGCTCATGGGACCGCTGCATTGTTCCATAACTTCCTATAGGCAGGCCTCACATGCACATTATGACACTTAAACTAGGTATTTTGTGTTTGCTGATCCGGGTTAGGAGTTCTTTTTGTGGGAAGGTTCTGGTTAGAAATCCAGTTTGTTTAATAGATAGTAGACAGGGCTGGGGGTGCAACTCTGACATAGACTACTTTCCTGGTGTGGTGAAGGTCCTGGATTCACTCCGCAGCACCACGAAAAGTAGATATTATAAATTTAGATTTTTCTAGTTAATAAGTTTTATGCGTTTCAAGGAATTTTTCCATTTTACTTAAATTGTTTAATTTACTGAGTATCGTTCTTAATATCTTCTTATTATATCTTTAAAATTCATAGGCTCTGTAAATTCCTGCTTTCAATCATTTGTATTTTCCTGAGGAAGCTTCTTCTTCTTCTCCTTCTCCTTCTCCTTCTCCTTCTTCTTCTTCTTCTTCTTTTTTTTTCAGAACCAGGGATTGAGCTCAGGCCCTTGAGCTTGCCAGGGAAGCGTTTATTCCACTGAGCCATCTCCCCGGCTCCCATTGAGGAAGCTTCTTGAGGCTTATCACTTTTTCTTTTTGTAGTACTGGAGGTTGAACTGGGGCCTTCACACTGGGCTATATCCTCAGTCATTTTATTATTTTTTGAGAAAATATCTTCCTAAGTCACTAAGCTGCCCAGGCTAGACTCAAAGTTTAAATTCTTCTGCCTCAGCCTCTGACAGTACTAGGATTACAGATATGTACCACCAGATCCACTGGTTTATCACTTTTTAATAAAAATTATAAAGAACCAAAGTCTGGTTTTATTGATCATCTCTATTGTTTGCTCTGTATCAGTGTATGTTTATTAGAGAAACAGATCTAACACAAGATATATAAATACAGAAGAATTTACAGAATTGGCTTACAGTGACCACCCACAGAGTCGGATGAAGAAGAGAGCAGAAAATCCATTTATACCCTGGAGACCAAAGGATTCAGTCTAAGCTCTGAAGCTTGCTACAGTGTCCTGTATGAATCTCTAACAGGAGGCCGATGGATCTGCAATGGAAGGCTGAAAAGTCTACAACAGAAGGCTGCTGAAAGATCTGAGGATGAAGCCAAGAGACTGCACTAGAAGCCAGGAGATGGTGTCCAAGATGAAGGTGAAGACTGGAGCACCTCTGAAGAAAGAGAAGTCGATCTGTCCTTCCTCATTTCTCCTTTATACCAGCCAGGTGACAAGCCACCTTAGGGTGAAACTTGCACTGCCTACAGTGTGGAATTGCTGACAGCTTTTACTCAAGTCCACACAATCAGTCAACCATCTCATGCTCTAACCCGTGCCTCTTCATGGACTTTTTTCACTTTTATTTGCTCTTGCACTAGCACTAGATTCAGTTATGTCCTCTTTCCATATACTTTTCTTCTTCCGTATCATTCTGTGCTCATTGGGATCTGGTGCTGTCACCTGCTCATCTGAGACTCCAAGATTGTTGTGCTTTTTGTGTTTCTGTGGTGATGAGGGCTGGAGTTTGGACAACTTCACTTGTTCTTGCTGTTCACTGTTTTTTCAGAGTGATTAAAGGGGCAGGGTTTTGGTGGAGCCTGACCATAGGCTGCCTCCAGGTCTTCTGGCTGTTAGAAATTGATATGTATAAGGGTCGGTAGGGAAACTCACACATGACACCTACAAACAGCTACAGGAGAAACTGGAGTCACGATGATTGTATGAAATATTTTCCAATCTCAAAAGTAATCAAGGAAGTGAAAACTTTAATGGTAAAATAGTTTATCACTTAACAAATTACTAAATGGTGGCAGGAGGGAGATGAGAGGGTAGGGGGCAGTAAAAATGACCACACACACGCACCAGTTCTCAAAGATGGATGAATTTGTTACATATTGTAAACATATACTCGTAAAATGAAGCAAACTGGTGAAGATTTTTTTTAAAGGGAGGGGAAGTATCTAGCGTGTGAAGAATTTCAGAAATGACTGCTGTGGTGCCGATTGCCGCTGCTCGTGCAGGTCACAGTCTCTGAACACTTCAAGGGTACAAACTGAAACATGGATGCTGCTGTGCAACTGGCCCTCTCCCCCCAGCTTCCCTACATCCTGGTGAAGTCTCAGCTTACTGGGGACTCCTGTAGTAAGTCCCCCCCGTTTCCTGCGTGGGGTTATGGCACACAGTGAAAAGAAGGGGCAAGAGACAAACAGCAATGCAACAGGGATCTGGGATGGCCAGTTGTTCACGGGGAACACAAGGGCCGTGAGGCAGACAGACCCTTGGCATTTATTGATCACATGTACATTGAGGAAAACAGGGAGGAGATTATTGGATAAGTCAGAGGGCAGTGGTGGCTTTATGTTGAAAAGGATCTTATGCTGATGAGGATTACTTCCAGTGACTCTGAGTGTGGGCGGTGCTCTTCAACTAATGAGGGGCTTATGTTGATGAAGACAGTGGGGAGAGATGGCAGGTTAATAGGAGGTTTGTCCTTCCCCCCAGGTGAAACCTTTTTTATTTTACTTTTCTGTGCTCAGGGAACCAGGATGTCTTCAGGTCATGTGATCGTGGAGCATCATAGCATCATGGGACCAGGTGCACGTGGAGTTATGTTTCCACATACCACAGCCGCCCCCACGCAGGACACTAGGCCTTGGACACGCGCTAGTCACAATTTAATTATGAAGTGATTTTCCCTCCCAAATTATATAGAATGGCTTTCTCCACCAGGTGATTTGAAATTGAATGAGGTGCTCTTTTATTATGATGGCAGTGACACAAAGGTGCATAGGTAGGGGGTGATTGGAGAGACACACAGGACATACAGGAGGTAGCTAGAGATGGCACTAGACAAATGACAGAAGGGAGAGATGATGGGGAGGTGGAGGGCAGACCGCGTGTCGAGGGGGCCCTAGTGTCTCATGCATCTTCACTGGTGGTGGTTCTGGGAAGCCACCGCACTGGGAGAGTTTGATGTTCAAATAAAGGAAGGCTGGCTGTAAGTCAAGTATGATGGAGCTACCTGCTTGGGACAATCCTACGAGAATTATGGCTATAACTGAGATTTAATAATCATAAAAATATTGTGAACATACTCTAATAAATTTTAAATCAAGGTGAAATGAATGCATTTCTAGAAAATAGTTGGTGTAAGAAACAATTTTCAAACTTGGATATCATCATTAAATAAGTTGATTAACATTAAAACCCTTTTCTAGCCATCATCTTCCCCAACAGTGCCCACACCAGATGATATTCTGGTTTGGGTTCATTTCTGAGTGAAATGAAACCAACTTGGAAAGAACATGTCTTCCTCATGCTAACTAAGTAGAACAAGAAGAGAAGAGTGAGAATCCAATTTCAGAGGATTGTTACTTGACCCAAAAATTAGGGAAGCTTAGTCAGCGTTATCTCAGAAACGAGGACTCCCTGGTGAGGACTGCAAGAACATAACAATCACAATCACTTTGGTTCAGCCCTTAAAATGCAAGAAGGGTCCATCAGCAGAAAAGTTATCAGTTGGAGGCTAAGGAAAGACTAGCTGACTGTTTCAGTAGGTATGGAAAATGTACTTGATCAAGTTCAGTATTTTTCTTGATAAAAACTTCTAGAACATTCGAAAAGTATTCCAAGATAGTGTGCAGAAGGAGGATGTGGGAGATGAGGATAGTGTGGGAAGGACACAGAGCATGAAGCGGAAGTGTCCTGTCTTCCTTTGTGTTTGGTACTTCAGTATGCCATTGTTTTGATATTTTGTGGCATAAAGCATGCATCTAAAGAAAGAGGAGCTAAGTCTGTGGCTTCACAAGCTATGGCCACCTTCAGGTTGCCTGTTGGTGGAAGGCACTGAGAAGTGAGCAGGGTGCACTGCATGAGCGTGGAGAGTGAAACGGGAGTGGCAGAAAATGTACACAGAAACCTTGCATCCCCTTTTTCCTCACGGGCAAGACAACTCAGTTTTCTTCTTTCTTCCAGTCTCTCAATGGCTTCGCTCTGGTTGTGAGTGCAGAAGGGATGATATTTTATGCATCAGCAACAATCGTGGACTATCTGGGCTTCCACCAGGTAAATGAAATCAAGTTGAGTTTTTACTCTGTTAAATGCTGATCTGTTACTTTTGCAAAGGTTTGTTGTCTTGAAGGTTTAAGAAATATCTAAAACAAAGCTTTCCACATCACTGAGCTTGCTCTGTCTATGGTAGCCCAGCTCCTAGTGTTTTGGGGAGGCACAACGGCGTTGCCCCCGCCCCCCAGCAAGATGGCTCTGTCCTTGGCATTTCACTCAGAGCCATCACAGCACAGTATCCAACTACAGACACTTGGCACATTTGGGACACAGTTTGTTCCAGAAGTGCCCTTGCTGATGTGCAGAAAATTCATGTGGGATGCCAGCAGGCCAAACCAGGTTAGATAGTTTGGGGCTTTGGGGCCAAGAGCTGACACTGAAGCTCATCAAATGTGGGGATCTTGGAAGGATGACTCCCCCCAGAAAAGTACAAGAAGACTTTCATCCAAGGCCCAGAAAAGAACAAGGGAACATTTTTCTGCTTGGCCTCTGGAAGGAAAAAGAAGTCTCTGGTAGGAAATAGAGAGGTGGCATATAGAATCCAATGCTGCACAATAAGGGAGGAAGAGAAGGCTCCCTAGTTTGGACAGAGGAACCCAGAACCCAGGCCTTAGGCTGCACCAGGGTCACTGTTACTAGCAGGTCTACTCTGAAGCTGACCTTGCAATCCAGAAATCCCACAGGGGAAGCCGTGGGCCACAAGCAGAAGCCAGCAGACAGAATAACAGGTTTAGCTTCTCCTAGCAGAGTTCAAAACGACACCACACTCTGAAAGAAGCTCAGAAAAGAAATAAATGTAATTGAAATAGTATAAGCTGGTATAAAGAAAGGACAGTATATAATGAAAAAAGAACTAATAGAACTTTGGAAAATAAAGAAGGTGGGATATTAGGATTGGTTTAGAATACAGTTATCTTACAGTTTAAAGAATCTGTGAATAAGGATACAGATTTAGTAGTAAGGGTAAAGAGAGCCCCAAAGGAACAGCAGGCATGCAAGGGGCCCATCCTGGGGACTCTCAAGTCTGTGTGTCACACTCTGGAGGGTGCAGTTGAGGCTGTGGCTCTGTGTGGTAGAGGTCACCAAGGTATCCTCCGGGCTGGACAGGACTCCCTCTCTGGGGAGCTCAGCAGGGCTTCTGAGAAGCAGCTCCAGGGTGCCCGCATCCACAGCATAGCAGACACTAGAGGGATACTGCTGGGTCCCAGGAGCAGGAGCCTGCCTCGGTGCCCCAGCTGCTACCAGCAGAGGGCAGATGCTCCAGGAGCCGGGATAGGCACACAGCAGGGGAAGTGCGGGGCAGCAAGGCAATGTGTAGAGTGATTAAAACCAAAACCTTGTGTTTGGGCAGAAAGCCAAGGGTGCACTGCCAAAGGCAGTGGAAGCCAAGAGCTGAGGGTGTAGGTCTCTGACACGTTGTTAAAATCTGCCCGAGGCCAGCAGAGTGTTTTATCTAATTTCCAAGAGAACTACAGTTTTGAATAGTTTTCCAGAACTGAAATAGCTGTGGCAGTTTCTTATATTTACCATCCTGTCACCTGAGCCCGTGCTGAGTCCCTACAGGCCCCAGCGACTCCTTACCCTGATGCACAGCTTTCCTGTCCTCCTGACTCGGGAGCTGTGCGCAGTGTTGCCTGCTCACCCTCCACTGTGCCCCAGCAGCCTCTGCTCCAGGCCTCTAGACACAGCTAGCACCAGGCCTCGATCAGCCTGTGCTGGTGGTGTGGAAGGTCAGAGGGGACAGCTGTGTGCAGGAAGCGTGAATGCTGGCCATTAACCCAAGCCCCAGGGTTGCCCCAGCAGCTGCTCTGTTGGGATTGCAGGGGGCGGCAGGCTTGGCATTGCCAACTCTGCAATCACTGCACTGCACCATGCCTCAATTCCTATGTCCACACAGCGTGCTGTGCACTGTCTGCCTCCCTAACTGCTGCTGGGGCCTCCTGGGGAGGAAGAGCTCTTGGTGCCTGGGAAAGGTGCCCCCCACCTCACAGGGAGGGCTGCAGCATTCCTCTAGCCACTCTCGATGACCCGACACTTCAAGTCTGCTCCTCAGGGGAGCCTTGCATGGTAGCACTGTGTCCCTCACCCCTGAGACAGTACCTATCCTGGAGTCCTGCATGGGCATCTGTGGACTTCACTTTTACCATGGAGAGTAGAGAAAAGCAGAGCAGCACTTTGCTGAGGTTCAGTGCCTCCCTTGCTGTGGGGTCCAGGTGCCTGTGACAGTGCAGAGCTTGGGGACATGACTCAGTGGCATAAGTGGGCTCCCGCGTGGAAGGCACTGGTCGCAGACTCAGTGGCTACATGTGCATGGCCTGCGCTCGGCACACTCAGTTACACTCACTTTCTGCTCCAGGCTGCTGCGTGGCTTAGGATCTTCTCACAGGCAGAGCTGCTTCCTTTGGCCAGAACTGGTGGCTGCACCACAGAGTCTGGCTCAGGACAGAGGCAGGTGCTGTGTGTAGCGGCTGTAGCTGTGGGTCAGGTACTCAGTAGATCTTCTGTTTTCTTGGAGCTTGGTTATTTCACCCTAAGTGTTAGAAGTTAAAAAGTTTTGCCTTTATTATAGAGATTTTTTTTTCAAATGTCATTAAATCAGGGCTTGCCTCAATTTTATGCAAACATTTCATGAAAGAGTTATAGCAGCTTCGTGCTCTTATGAACTTCTCCTGCTGGACACTTTGCGGAAAGCTGGGAGCCAGTTCCTTACCCTGGCAGCTTGGGCATGCTGTCCATGCTGTCTTTGCATCAGCGTGCCAGGGGCACCCAGGGGTGTTTTAGCCACCTTGACACTCAGGAAGCCGCTTGTGCCCTCACAGTCCCCGTGGCAGCTGTCCCTGAGTGAACCAGCTTAGCGATCTGAGCAGATGTGACCCTGCAGCTGTGAGAATAGATGGGTGCATACTTTGTACGGAGGTCAAAATGATGCTGGAATGCTCCACTGTTTAAACCAGGAATGCTTTCATTCTGAGATCCACAAATGGTGGTTCACAGCTGAAGTGAATACTGAATTCACTCGATCAAAGTGGAGTTCAGGCTGCCGGCCATCCTGCCACTCCGCCTCTCCATCGCACCTCCTGTCCTACCTGCTTACTCCTTCTGACATCCCTTTGTGAAACTAAGACATCGAGAAGGACGTGGGACAGCCAGCAGGCCACACCAGGCGCTGAAACACAGATCTTTGTCTCCTCAACCTCAGACTTCCACATTTTACCCTGTCTCCAAGTTCGCCTCAGAAATGGGTTTTCTGGTCTTGCCATGCCCACTGCCAGATCCATACCTCCCTGTCTCTTTCATAACTAATGAGGATGTATGGACAGGCGTGCGGCCAGGTTCTGAGTACAGGAAGGAGCCTCATTCATCAGAGAAGGCAGAGTGCAGAGGCTGTTTGATTTACCCACACCCTCTGAGAACATCACGCCACAACAGGAGAGCTGAGTCCCCCAGAGTCAGCCTTCACAGCCATGGTCTAGGCTCCAACCCCCAGGATCCTGTGGGCCTTCAGCCCATGGCCATGCCGTGGATCTCCAGAGCTGTGGGTCACCTACACGCACTGTGGAGAGAGCGGCACAAGCCACAGTGCCAGCCTCCTGCCTCACTCAAGCATCACACCCGTGCCACTTAGGGCTTACCACATGTTCCCTAAGTCAAAACATGGGGGAAAAACTTCCCAAACTGGATTAAAACCCCAAATTCCAAGGAACAAACCCACCAAATGACATACAGTACCCACACATGCACAAAAGCATTATTTAAAAAAAATTAATCCCAATTCAGACACACCAAGAGATGTTCTGTATTTGTGAACTGGGAACCTCAATATCACTATAAAGATGTCAATTTTTTCCAAATCGAATTGTGAATTAAATTATAACAAAAGCTGACAACTTTCTGGTCGGCACGGACATATTAATTCTAAAGTTTCCATGGAAGTGCAGAGGCTGAGAAGACGAGTCTGGAAGAGTAAGAAAGGGCAGCCAGTGGTGATGTTTGGGCCTTGTGCTGCTACCAGAGCCACAGCTTCCTGAGACTTGGGGCTCAAGGCTGGACAAACTGGCAGCAGCCATCTAGAGCCCCTGGGCTGGACTGCTGGCCAATACCCAGCAAATGCCGCTGGGAAAACTGAGTCCAAATGAGACCAAGGAATCTTGTCTCCTACCTTACACCATACTAGAGTAACTATTGGACACATGAAAGAAGTTTCTAGAAGATGGCAGGGTAAGTTCTAATACCTGTGAGGAAAGATATCTTAAGCATGAGTGGGACTGTACAGATTCTGAGGAAGGTGGGCAGGCAGCTGGGCAGTGGGAGATGTCCTCAGCAGAGTGCAGACAAGAACACATCAGTGGGCAGTTCAGTGGGATCCATGAGGATGATAATCCGATATCAGGTACACAGTACACACACACACACACACACACACACACACACACACACACGCACACCCCAAGACCAATAAATACATGAATGGCCCTCATTCTCATGACAGGCCAATTAAAGCCACAGTGAGACGCCACTGCACATCCATTGAGAGGCTGAAATGCCAAGTGGCGGTGTGCACAAGGCGCAATAGGGATGCTACCGTGGCAGGCCTAGCCCCTGCGCCACTCTGCAGATGAATGACTAACGCGGCAGCCACTCAGTTGTGTCCAGGCACCGCAGCTGTGGAATGCCCCATGGTAGACAGCCACACCCACTAGGCAGAGGATGATTACTGCTGCCGCGCATCAGCCAGTCTCATGGCTGTGACGTTGGGTGGGACAGACACCTGGTAGCGTACCAGCCTTTGGTGGGGGGCCTGGCTTGCCTTCAGTGTAGCATCCTGTGTCCTGATTGGTGGTCCTATCCTGGTAGAAAGCAAGTGATGTTTAGAGCACAGCTTCTGTGTCCTGCTTTAGTCATAGAAGTTCATTAAGCAGCCGGGTGAGCAAGCGTCCGCTTCTGCCTTGGGGCCTCTGCCCCTTGGCTCCACAGCCGAGCCAGAGCCCTGACCTGGCCAGCGCTGACTAAGGACAGTAGTTACCCAGCCTCCCTCTGCCTCTCCTCTGGGCTCCCTCTTGACTCTTCTTTTTAAGAGAACTGTCTTATTTTTCTCATTGCTGAGATAGAATATCCAGGACCCAAGGATAAAAAGATGAAAGGTTTATGTAGTTCACAGTTTGTAGAGGTTTCAGTACAAAGTCAGCTGGCTCCAAGGCAGGGAGGGACAGCAGAGGGGTATCACAGAGAAGAAACAGTCTATAGCAGGCAGAAGACAGCAAAGCAGAAAGTAGCAAATAGCAGTAGAAGCAGCCTTTATATTCTATCCAGAGTATAAGCCTATTGATTAGGGCCACCGACACCCAGAGTGGGCACCTTAACCCCAGTATCATACACTCTAGATCTAGCCAGCTTCACCCCGCCCCCTCCATGGCTGCTTTGGGGGAACATCTAGATACAAAACCATCACAGGAACTTTCCTTAGAGCAAAGGTGCCAGGCGATGAAGTGCAAGTCTTTACTATGGCTGCATCCCTTTGCCTCCTCCTGAGGTACATATTGGTTATCATTGTGGGACCTCATGGGGCTTGTCCAGGAACACTCTGGGAAAGATGGTGGATCTCATCCACCCTGGTGAGTATACTCATTACATTCTTATTAAAAGGGAAGCTTTTTTTGAGGTTGTAATTGGTAAGGGACTTTGCCTCCAGCCAGAAAGACTCTTTGAGCTCCTATAAGGTTCCAGTCAAGAAGTGTTTAAACTTCAACAGAGGTGGGCATATTCTGAAGGAGGCTAGCCCCACAGTGCTCCAGTAGTCCCTGGCAAGTGTGGACAGGTTCTGAGTACAGGAAGGAGCCTCATTCATCAGAGAAGGCAGAGTGCAGAGGAGACTTGCATGGGATGTTTTGATTTACCCACACCCTCTGAGAACATCGTGCCACAACAGGAGAGCTGAGTCCCCCAGAGTCAGCCTTCACAGCCATGGTCTAGGCTCCAACCCCCAGACCAGTTAAGGGCCCCATGCTGGTGGAGATGAGTATCACCTCAGGCCCGGTCTGCCCTGAGGAGATGGAAGGACAAAGAACTAGTTAGAGGCCTGTGAGCAAGGAGGTCCCCAAGGCATCTCAGACTCAGGCAGGTTGAGCCTGGTTCCAGGCAACAGGAAGTGACAGGCGACATGAGACATGCAGTGGGGAAACACACAAATGCCACATAGTGGACACACAGTGGCCAATATGCATGTGCCCAGACATCTTATCTCTGAGTCTCCTCCTCCCCCTGCCCCCATTCAGCCTGGGTTGAACTCGAAGCTGCCAAGGACTACTGGGATGCATTTGACACTGGGCTGGGGAAGTCCAGGGTGATGTGTCTTCACCAGCTGGTGGTGGCCTCAAGACCTTTCCCATGGGACTCTCCACAGGCATGACTTGCTTTTGATGGATGTGGGAATGCTGTAGCTTATAATTGCTGGAATGGGTATGCAGATTCAGGGTGAGGCTGAAACAACTGTTTCAATATTGTAGACCGATGTAATGCACCAGAACATTTATGACTACATCCACGTAGACGACCGCCAGGACTTTGGCCGGCAGCTCCACTGGGCCATGGATCCCCCACAGGCGAGGTGTGGGCAGCATCCCTACACGGAGACAGGTGGGTCAGTGCATCTCAAGCTCCATGGAGCCCTGGATACCCAGGCTGTCCTTTGCCATCCACATAGGCTTCTACATTGGAGTTTGCTTGCTCCAGAGCTGACCGCCGTCACAGGCCATACGATCCTACAGCTGGTCCATCCCGTGGTGCTTCGCGCACCTCCCCCATGTATCAGTCAGTCCTCTATCACTGTAATAAATACCCAACATAATCTGCTTGTGAAGAGGAAAAGAATAATTTTGGCTCACAGTTTTGGTTGTTTTAGTCCATGGCTTCTAGGACTCTGGTGGGATGGAAGGACCTTGTAGTACAAAATCGCTGACCTCGTGGCTAGGGTGTGCAGACAGAAAGCAGAAGGGGTGGAGTTTGTGATTCTCTTCTGGTTCCCTTTGAGGTCTGACCCCAGGATCTGAGACATCTCATGAGCTTTTCAAGTCTCTGTTGCCTCCCAGAAGTACTGTGTCAGGGCCTCAGGGCCTAGGATCAAGCCCTTAGCACAGTGACCTTGGGGGATAAGCATGTGCTTGAGGCCCAGGCTCTGGCCCTTTGCTAGAGCTCTGGCACTTGGATCTTGGTGTCTGAGCTCTCTCCTATCTGCTAGGAAGGCTCTCTGCTAATCGAGATGTATCCAAGAATCTTGACAGATGGTGCCCTTATGCATACCTCCCCAGGGAGCTGCTTCCCCTCCAAGCTTGTGTTTGTCCCAAGTTTAACATGTGTTAAGCTTCTGATAGGCAAGAGGTGTGGGTGAGCTTAGAGGGGCCAGACAGGTCCCTGCCAGGGAGACAGCATCAGCCTGGGAGGTCTTACACACAGGGACATTCTCTGGCATTTCCATATACATTCACGAGCCCTGCATAACTCATGGAAACGTTTCCACCACGTCCAGCTCATGGAGCTGCATGATTTATGAGTGAACTGAATGCAAAGTCCAGGCCACAGGTGCCTGCATCCTTATCATTTCGTGAATGTCAAACAAGCCAAACTGAAAATCCATGCCTTTAAGGGAGGGGGGCAGTGGAGGCAAAATGCACTAGAACAACGTGGCAGGTGGGGCTGTGCACTGCCGTGACCTGTGCAGCTCGGTGGTGTGTTGTGCACCTTGCATGAACCGCGACACATCCCACTAGCTTACTGATGTCTTTGTGATTCTCTCTCTGTCACGGCCTCTGCCTCATTGCCTTGCCCCTGCACTGCCTTGGCAGCAGACGACACGGTCTTGGGGAGGCTCCTCAGGGCCCAGGAAGGGGGCATGGGTTCGCCCCCCGAGTACTCAGCCTTTCTGACTCGTTGCTTCATCTGCCGTGTACGCTGCCTGCTGGACAGCACCTCTGGCTTTCTGGTAAGTAAGGGGAGTCCTATATGGGACTTGGCCCAGCCACAAGGCTGCCAGCATCAGGTGCCCTGTGCTCTGGGGTGAGGGCAACCCTGCGCCTAAGCCCCACCTGTACAAGCTGCCAGCACAAGGCCTGGCAACCCCCAAGCTAATGAGGGTGGTGAGTGAGTGGAAATGGGAGACCGCTGCAGGCCAAGGAGGCGAGCTAGATGAAACAATTAAAACTGACACGCGCATCCTGCAGAGCACCCTCTTCCAGGAAGTAGAGTATGGGCCGCACTCATGCCTGGGCAGAGCCTTGTGCCACCCATGGCCCCCACTGTTAGGACTGCAGAAATTTCGACATTTGATTGATATTAGGTTTGAAACTAGCCACAGCATGAATATTTATGCTAAAATCCGGCAAATACTGCCAACCTGGGATGTTTTTCCCCTGAAGAACTGGATGTTAATATCCCTAGCACACCACTGCTTTGAGCTCCCCTGTATGAGGTGTGTGGCTCATGCTCAGTCAGGGCTTACAAGTGTTTTGTTCCCTCAATAAACCCATAGAAAGAGGGCTTGGGAGGTGAGTGGGAAGCCAGGGGGATGGGGATGGAGGAAGAAAGGGAAGGATGAATGCATGGTCAGTGGGTATAAGGTGGAAGCTGGCTGGGTGGTCCTGAGGCCATGCTGACAGGCTGGGGTGCCGAGTGAGGCTGGTATCCCCTGAGCGCTCAGGACAAGCACCCTCTCAGCATATCTGCTCCTACAGCGGGTCACCTCACACCCCGAATTCTGCATCCTCCCTGAGTCTCCAGTTCACTCCAAGAATACAGCTTTCTGTCTTTAAAATGCTAGACAATGCAGTTTCAAGGAAAACTACGATTCTTACTGGGACAGAGGAAGAAGGCGCCATCGGGAACAGTCCTGCCCCCACGGCTCTCGCTGTTCTGCACTGTGGTGCCGGTCCTCCTGCCCTCCACAGCAGACATGAAAATGAAGAGCACATATCTGAGGGTGAAGCACAGGGCAGACATGGCAGCCATGACAGACACAAGGTGAGTAGGAACTGACTGCACCTAGTGCACCAGGAGCCTTTGGGCTGGCATCCCTAGCCACCTCCTTGCCTCCTTGGGGTCGAGAGGCAGCTGCAGCTTGTTGGGCTGTTTCAAGAGGTGGGTACTCAGCCTGCTGCCCCCCAGCATGTCTGTGCCTCCCTAGGACAGGACTTCCATGCCCACCCACACCCATCCTTGCTCTGAGGCCCCTGTTAGAAGTTGGGACCCCATATGTCCCAGTGGGCTCCCTCCTGACCCAGGCTGAGTGACAATCAGTGGACCAGCCTTGGCCTTGGTCTCGGTCCCTCAGTCCGCACTTCCTCCTGGAGAGGTCTGTCTGTCTGGCCCAAGCACCTGTCTGCAGTTTCCCACTTCATAGGTTGTACAGATGGGGAACAGGGAAGAAGCCCTGGTTCACCAATAACTCAGTGAACTAAGCTGGGTTTGAACCTGCTGCGGCCCAGGCACAACTGGCCAAGGTTGCACAGACCCCTGAGACAGGAGATGCAGTCCAGACACGGCATTCAGAGGGGTGCCTAGCAGACTCCCTGTACTGCTGACCCAAATCCTGTAACTCCTGCCCTTCTTTCCCTGGCCGCACTACTGCTCTGATCATGATTTCCGGATATTTCTCAATCTGGATGACTTTACAGGAATATTTGCAACAGATCAGCAATGCTGTCTGCATGCAGGAGTCTCCTCCTTTGTTTCAGGCACTCTACCTTTAGCAACACGGTCACTGGCAGCAGACTGGCTCTGTTTCCTTAAGCTGTGGGTCTGTTAGACCTGTCTGTTCTGGTCTTTACTTTGGCTTTTGATTCCACCTGTACCCCTTAACTCTTTTCTAACATTAAGTTTCATTTATCAGATTCAAACCCGGGTCAGCCCTGACTGCCTGGCATGGCTCCCCTCCCTCTACACAGTCTGCTTGGACCTGCTTGTCTCTGTCCTCTGTGGAAGCTGTCGCTTACCCTATGTGTCCTAGGTACCAGGCCTGTCACACACCTGTTGCCCACCTGCCTCTGCTACGGGAGTGCCCCTGCAACGCTGGAGGTTCCCCTGGAGGGTGTGAGCCCACCCCCTCCATCATCACAGCCCACTCCCACCTTCTCTAAGCTCCCATGAGGTACTCCTCTGTGGTTCCACACTCCTGACTCTCTTGGTCCTGGTTCCTGCACATGCTCAGCCCCTCTGCCAGGTCGGCACTGGAGCCTGCCCTTGCCATCTTGCCCTGCGCAGGGTGGATGGAGCTGGCCTCTGGCTCAGAATGTTGAGAAGAGCAGGCTATGAGATATTCTAAAATCAAATTCATGTTTTTAAAGACAACATACAGAACACAAAAGGAAAAACAACACCAAGGGAAGAAGATACAAGGATAAGTAAGTGGTGAGGCCAATTCCAGAGCCTCACGCCTGCCATCCATGCAGAGCTCCTGTTGGGGCCAGGGGGTGGGACTCTGCAGCTGCCAGCTGAGTCCTGCCCAGTGCCCTGGATGCTCTGCACTTTTACTAGCTAATTTTTCAGTTTTTAAGCTAATTTGGCTGTTTCTGTCCAAGGCACAGTGGGCCTTCTGTTTTCTGTATGTTTTTCCTACCTTAAAATCAAACTGAGGGGAGTTCAAAATAGCCTTCTCCAGCTGGGCCCAGGTAGGAAGTGCTGCTGGCTGCCCTGGGACCCAGATGGGCACCGGGCAGGTCGCTGGTCCCTGACTGCTCTTCCTGCACTGGATGCTGGCCCTGCCTGCCCAGGGCTTGGGAGGCACTGGGCAGGTGAGGAGAACAGGCGTAAGGAGGGCAGAGAATATGGAGTCCACTTCACTCCGGGACTGGGAACACCACTTGCTCTGAACTGAGGTTAAAGCTGATCTCCAGCATGTTCCCCATGGTTGGCCATTTGCCCAAGTATAGCAACACTGGGTCAGGTTAGAGGTAACAGCTCTTACAGGAGGGACCATGCAGTGATTGGGGAGGGGACATACAGTGAGTGGTTGTAGGAAGCATATTGTCGCTCACAGCTGTCCCTGTTGGTTTTGTCACAGGCCACTGCTCCTCTTTACTCTAACCTGTTGCACGCTTTTCCTACTTGCTAAAATTTCTTTCTAAACCCAATTCAAGGGACTGGGGACGTAGTTCAGTAGTGCAGCACCTGCCTCTCAAGCACAAGGCCCTGGATTCTATTCCTGATACCAAAAAAGAAAAAATCTCCTCCCCCCAAAACTCCAAATCGGTACTCGTCACAATTTTGTGACTACCCACAGACACATACATGGTGTAAATAAGATTTCATTGCATCTCCTCAGCAGAGGCCTCTGATCTCCCTGCAGAGAACCCCACCCATGGAAAGGTCCACCAGCTGGACAGGGATTGAACCCCAACTCTGCACCCCTAGCAAGGTAGCACCAGGCAAGCCACCTTTTAGTTCTTAAGATATAAAGTAGAAGCCCTAAGGATGATTCAAGATTATAAACCATGGAATACACGAACACTTCCAAATGCTTTGTCCGTCATGGTGACTTTCTAGCCACAATTAGACTTTCTTTGGCTGTCCAAGAAAATAAATGAGTTCTAAACACCACCTTATTTGCATAATGCATTAATATCCCTTAGTTTTGCAGACTGATCAGGCCCATAATCTCCAGAATGAGTGGATGGTGAAGGCTTTAATCAATGAGTCAAGTGGTACAATTTTAGGGCTCTAGGAGGATCAAAACCCTCTAATAGAATTTGAATTCTCTGGGAGCTAAGACCAAGATCTTCTCTAGGCAGCCTGTACTTATTTAGTTAGCAAAACAAAGGAGGGGAATACTGAAGAAAGGTGGGAATCTTTTAGGGACTTCTCTAAGTAAGACATACGTTCATTTAGGAGAACTGTGTTATTTCCAAGAAGGTCTCTGCCAGAAGTGAGCTGCCTGAGGCTACTGTTTTTATCTAATTGAGTCTGGAGCCAGGTGTCCTTAGCTGTGGCCTTGTCTTGTCTTTTAATTCATTGGCCACTACAGGCCTCAGTCAATTGGGGCCAGTGACTCACAGAGGCTCGCTTACTATGAGTCTGCGGCCCATCTCCAGGCCAGGGGCCTAGGCCTTGGACAAACTCATAAGCAAACATGAAAAGCCAGTTGGTTAACAGTAAATCCTGCTCAGAACTGCTTCATGGTGGTCTCCATCATATGCGCATCTACATTCTGAAGCAAATTCTTTTGCATTTTTATTGGCCCACAGAACGACATGATTTGAGGATTTTCAGGAATCTGTAACTAAGAGACTTTGCAAGCTCTAAAGACTTGAAAGATGTGAGCTACTATTTCTATCGTTGCCTCTCAGGCATACAGGCCAGCAGTGCCGGCCATCATCAGTTCCTCCCACGAGTTATTTCTCTTCTTTATGATCTCTTCTTTACAGGGCAAAACCGACCATCAGTCTGTGTGAATCAGAACTTCCTGGAAAACCCAGCTTCTTAGCAGGTACTGTTCAGAGTTCCAAATCTCATTTTTTTCTAAATGGATAAAATGGGCTTTTCCCCCTGGAGACCTCTCCCCTGTCCCCTTTCCCCATACTCTGCAAAAATCCTGAGCATTCCAAGGAAATGCCATGTGGGAGGTCACAGGGTATGTCCCAAGGGAACAGCACCTGTTCCTGTCACCCAGGTCCTCTTTAAGTCAAGAACAAACAGCATGATTCCTTCCTTCACATAGTGACTGCTTTCTCCCCTAAAACCCTCACAGGAAGGAACAGTAGTGAAAATGGCATCTCAGCGTTTAGGGCGCAAACAGAAGCTGGCCACTGGGCCCGGGTTCCAGCCAGAGCCCGGTGCCCCTGCCTCAGGAGTACGGACCTCATCTCGGATTCCAAGGGGGCCACAGGGTAAGTGGTGCCACCCTCTCCACGCCTTGTTGGAGTCATCATAGGCCACTGTGAGGATAAGGGCCTGGATTCCTATCAATGCTCCGCTGCTGTCCCAGCCCGGAGAGCATCCATAGTTTCTCTGTCACTCCCGCAGGCCACTTGCTTGCCCTGCCTCAAGCTGTGCTAGCCCTGTTGTGACCAGCTGGTGTCCCTCAGAGACTAGACGATCCATGTCATCCTACTCAGTGTCTCCTATCACAGAGGAGCCAACTTGATGCACACAGTGTTGTGTTGGTCTGCATTTCGGAGTGATACCCGCCACGTTCCCCAACATTCACTGTGATCTATGTGGCTGAGGCCTGCCTGAGAGGCGACCACTTCCTGCAACCCACTGCCCTCTGCTCCCCACCAGACCCTGGGTAAAGGGGTGAGAGGAGTGAGTTATATTGAGAGGCAGTTCTGCACTGCCTCTAAGGCTGCCAGAAGCTGAAAGGGACATCGAGTCTTGGGCCTGGTTCACAGCTATCCAGCAGATTGAGCCAGTGTTGCCCTTGCTCTGTACTATGTCTCAGTCCCTCTGTCTTATGTCCATCTTCCCTACAGGGACAGGGAAGAAACAGATCAGGACAGGATGCTGAGTGGCTCCACGGGAGGCAGGACACGGAAGGAGGCACATGTGTACAATTGCCACCCAGAGATGCCAGTGCCTGGGAAGTACCCAAACTGGATGACAGAAAAGAGTGTACAGGATGGTGGCACCAAACTGAAGCTACTGCCAGGCAAGAATGAGCCCCTCTCCATGTGCACCGCTTCCCTGGGCTCCTGCATGCCCCACCCAGGCACTGAGGGCACGTTCAGTGCCAGCAGCCTAGCTACCTTCAGAAATCCTCCAGGCCATGTTCCCAGCTCCTACTGTGGCCGGATGAGCAGAGCGTGGCGGGACATCTATCAGGGTCAGGTGCCCCCACCTACCTGTGGCGCCGGAATGCAGTGCTTCACCCCTGGGGGCTACTGCACAGAGGATGCCAAGCTTCCTGGCCTGCCAATGCCCCCGGGAACCTCGTGCAATCCTATGCTGCCACTGGAGGTACCAATCAAGATGGAAAATGACTCTGGGTCGGAGGACACAGTAGAAGGCTGCACCCCTAGCCAAGTATGGCTGGGAGCCAGTGACGTTGCCAAGAGACATCTGGTCACTTTCCCCACCAGGATGCACCTGAAAGCAGAGCCAGACTGTGGGCACCAGGTTTATAACCAGTCCCTCAGCCTGGGCATGCTGGCAGCCCACCCTCAGAGCAGGGTCACTGCTGGGCCCTGCCGGGAACTGGGCCCGTTCTACCCTGCGCACAGCTCCTGTTTGGAGCTAGGCCCAAGGCGCCACCTTTGCACCGTGGGCCGCAGTGAGTGCAGGGCAACGGAGATCACACCCATGGTCAAGCGTGAACCCCTAGACTCACCCCCATGGGCCGCAACTGGCCAGGGTGCTGTGCCTGGGGTCTTCCCCAAAAGTGCTTCTGCCTTGCGGGTTCCTCCCAGAGCCCCCGAGGCTCCTTTTCTGCTGTAGAGCTGTTGCCACACCTTCCTGGAGACCATCAGCATGCACACGCAGACCTGCTGTGGCTGTGCTCCCAGCCCCTGGATGAGGGGGGACATGATCTAGGGATATCCTTTGCAGAATTTCAGGAGTATAGCCAGTGACTGACCCACATGGGGCACAGGCAGGGGTGCATTCTGAACTTTAGGCCATGAAAGTTCTTACGTACAGCCTATTCAAGTAGGACAGTGATTCTTTGACGAATTAAAATGTTTAAGGAAGCAGCCAACAGCATCCAGTACCCCAGGCAGCAAGCCCAGTCCAGAGGACTCCCAGACTTCTCAGCTCTCTGCTGCCCCCTACCTGCACCACGTGGCAGCCAAGGGATGGCAGAAGGTAGCAGAGTAACAAGGAAGAGGACCCCATGAGGGAGGGTGGCAGTGAGTCCACCGTAGGTAGTGCAACCTAAAAAGTTCCAGGAGAAAGAGGCTGCCACTCCAGCTCCTGTCCCTCCCCACAGTGCTCCAAGTCTGTCTGAGGCCACTTTCAGTATGGAGGTGGACAGAGTAATACCCTGTTCCTTCCAGAAATGCCACTTTCTTTTCCATGACCTGAGGACAGCTGTGGTAGTCTCTGTCTCTGGCGCCTCATGCAGTGAGGCTCACAGCATCAGGCAGTGGGCACAGCAGACAGGGCAGCAGAGGAGAGAGCAAGAGGCCGGGCCATCTTCCCTGGCTGCAACACACAGAGCTTTCCAATAAGGGTCCCACCATCACCCTATGAAGACTAAGGTGTCTGATAAGCCTTAAAAATTCTAACAGGAGGGCTGGCCAGATAGCTTAGCAGATTAAAGCACCTGCTTAGGCAAGCACAGGGATGGGGTTTGATCCTGGGCGTGCTGTGCAGGCCCTGCCCCTGTGGCACGCTGAGATGGTGATTGAGACTGGGCATGGGAATGCACGCCTGTAATCCCAGCACTTGGGAGGCTGAAAACAGGAGGATCACTATGAGTCCGATATGTGTAGGGAGACCCTGTAGACCCTGTACTAAATACATTTTTAAAAAAAGTAGCGGGAGACAATCCACTCAGATAGTAGGAAACTTGGATTCAAAATGTGCCTCAGGGGGCTGGGGAGATGGCTCAGTAGAATAAGTGCTTCCCTGGTAAGCGCAAGGGTCTAAGTTCAATCCCTGGTTCCGCCAAAAAACCAAACCAAGCCAAACAAAAAAACCCAGTGTGCCTCAGAAAGGAAGGGTGCTGTAGCCTCGAGGTAACTCTCTCCCATTGGTGCTTTACCCTGGTTGGTGCAGGGACCATGAGCAGAGGGAAGGCTCCGGAGCCTGCTGCAGCTGCCACTCACCTTCCTCTCCAGGAGTCTTGGATGTGGTGGGAGCCTGCTGGACTGTGACTCTTGCTTCTCTTCCTTCACATCTTTTCAGCATGGACTTGCTGTCTTCATAACCTGTGGCTCTGCAGGGAGGCCAGGGCTCAGCCCCTGCTTACTGTGCACCCTGTTTGGTAGATACATATCTGCCTTGTCCCAAATTGGGTTGGCAGGACATCTCTTGCCCAGCCCCTGAGCAGCCTGACTCTCAGCAGGACTTGTGGCCCAAGAGGGGGCTGAGGGGGCTCACACAGGCATAGGCTGGAAAGACTAGTCACTCTGGGCCTCTTCATCTCTGCGCAGACCACAGAAGCCTTCAAAGGTGACACAGGTGCTGTGCTGCCGTGGGTGTGACGCACACACATGCCTTCCCCCTTCACCACTGTCTCCCTTGCCTGGAGCAGGAATCGGGATGGGAAGCTGGCACCTGTCTCACCTATCTTCCTGCTGGCATAGGGTCTACTTAGACGCTGGTCTCCTAAGGGGTGGGTTTCACTCATCCTTTCCTCCCAGCTCTAAGCCAGGGCACCGCTCTGGACTGTGGAGAGCCCTGCACGCACTCAGACCTGCTGCACCTCACAGAAGGCATGGCCAAGCGCATGTGCCATTGCGCGTTTCCTCTCTGGAGGGCTGGGCTGCATCCCTGTCATCACACAGCCTCATCGTCCCAGCCCTTCTCTCTAGGAAGTGTCACTGAAAAGCAGACAAGGGAAGAGGGCAGAGCATACCAGCAGCACCTCACCTGTGTAACATGTCTAGCACTGCATGCATGTAACATGTTTGGTACCACACACACACATACACACACAAGCATGCTTGGCAGTGCATATATGTACTGTGCCTGGAGTGTTGGGAACTGGAAAAACCTGAGATCAGGGAGATGGAATAAAGAGACTTTTTTGCACATCTGCCAAGGGTAGCCATGTGACCAAAGGAGAGTTGCAGACCCCTGAAGCCCAGAGAGCCCTGCGGCTGGGCCACTCTGCCTGTCCTGCCCCAGCCTTTCACATGTGCCTCATCCATGCCCCCTGCTGGAACAGCAGGCCCGGGACAGGCCATGGGCTACTTGCGGGCCATGTTTAGTGGCCACTGAGCTGGGCATCTGGACCTGAGCTCTGCATGCATGGATGCCAAGTCATACCACAGCCCTTGGACACACAGGGCCAGGGCCGCATCCAGGCAGCAGATCCCCCAGCCCTGCATTCTGGTGGTTAAGCATTATGTGGGTCCTGAAAACTCTGGTGGGAAGGTGATGATGGGCTATGGAAGGTGCAGTGTGGTCTTTTCTGCTTCAGGGTGTCACCGCAAATGTTCTGTGGCGTATAGCTTTGGCCTAAATACCTGAGTATCAAAATCAAATATAAAGTGAGCTGACAGGGAGGATACATACAAATTATATTTTGTTATAGTTGCTACTGCAAGAAGCAATTTTTCATTGTCCAAATTGGCATTGCATAGCCTTAAGCAGATACTATCAAGCAGCTCTCTGTGCTGTTTCCTCAGTGCCTTCAACAGAGCTTCCAGATGTATTTCTTTTTTTTTTTTTTAAAGGAGGTCCAGATATATTTCTTATGCTGTGGTTTATATTAAATTTGCAGAATTGGTGTAAAATAAATCACATGTTCCTATGTGCTTGTGTGACTAGGAATGTCTATTGATTTTCCACATGAGGATAACTTACCTGCTCAGAGCCATGTTGGACTTAGTCCAAGGTGCTCCTTCAACATCAGGCAAATGGCAGTGATCAAAGCAGAATCACTAGAGCTGAAGGTCACTGGGGGAGGGAACCTCACCTGCACCCCCTTGAACCCCTCACCCCACCCCAGACTGCAACTATCCCCTAGGAGTAATGAAGACAGAGTTGGGCACTCTGGGAACCAGGTTGCAGGACATTGGTGACAGATGTATGGGAAGGGGGTAGGGTGACTTTCATTTTCTTTGGTCAAACTGTCCCCTTCACAGCTCTCCTTCCCCATCTGCTGCTGTCAGTAGCCAGTGAAGAGGCCACATCCTCAGGCATCCTTCCTTTCAGGGAACATCCTCTGGAGATAGAACAGGGGCAGGCTGTCAGGCCAGTCCAACTGCTTGATCCCAGTCTCCCTTCCCATCGCCAGCCTCTGATGTACAAAGACTGGATATCTAGATGGGCCCACCCCACCATCTCCCTGCCTTCTCTGGACTGGGGGGACACTTCTGATTTTCGTCACTGACACGGTGAATGCCCCCACCATGTGCTCACGGGGCACCATAACAGTGCTGCCTAGTAGGGCTTCATCTTTGGCATCACTCTCCCAACCCCTGGTTCTGGACTTCTGTAGGGTGAAATGTGCATTTCATTCATTCACTCATGAGTTGGGGGCCTGGCCCTAGCTCAGTCCTTTAAGTGGCTGCTTCCACAAAGCTGTCAGCCTCAGGTTGCTGGAGTTTGAACCTCACAACTCTCCCGCTGGCCAAAAGTGCCCTGAAGGCATTCGAGGAACAACAACAACAAAAAATCCTTATTCCATTTCATTCACTCATGAGCTGTTGAGTCTCTGCTGACTATGGTGTGAACACATTTGGGAGGACAAACACAGATCAGTGTTGTCCCAGAGCTGCGTTCTGTGCATGACATGTCCCAGGTCTGTACATGTGCGATGTGTGCACCCATGTGTGCATGGGTGTGATGGCAGGGGTGCACGCAACTACCAGCCCCAGGAAATGCGTAATTCTGTAACACAAAGAAGAAGACAGGTGAGTGTGACCCTGGCATTAGGTGGTACTTTTCTTGGGGAAGTAGGGATGGCTGGAACTAAAGGGAAGAGGGAGGAAAGCATGCCTGTTACATCTATCAAATCTTCCTGGGTGTGGCATAGGTTATTACATTATTTAGTCTGACAAGAACAAATCAAGAAATAATTTTATTTCATTTATTTATTTTTGTCTTGTTGAGACAGGGTCTCGCTACATAGGTTAGGCTAGCTTTGAGCTCATTTTGTAGCCCCAGCTGGTCTTAAACTTCCAACAATTCTCCTGCCTTAGCCTCCTGAGTCCTGGGATTAGACACATGCCACCACATCTAAGAAATATTTTTAACCCTTTTTTAAAGTTATGAAGAATTTAAGTCCTTCAATAAAGCATTTCTTCTCTAACCAGATTGGTGAACTTAGGAAGTCATGGAGCCCTACTTCAAAAGCCAGACCTTGACAGTAGGCCCTCCTAATATAAAACACTGCTATATTCTGAGTAACATTCCAAATGCATTAGCTCTCAAATAGCTTTACAGTTTAAATTCCCATTATGCATGTTAACGTTTTACATGTCTCCACTACTCAATTTGTTGCTACATTTTCAGAAGTTTGTAGGTAAAGATGAAATTCTAACGTGAGGGGCCAGCGGTTGGAGTCAGCCGACAACTAAGCACTGCCTTCAGCAGGTAGTCCGGTTGTGGCTGTGTTGAGGGAGGGGTCCTCTCCTGCCACCTGACCCCTCCTTTTGTACCATCCTGGCTGATCTTAGAAGCGCTACACTATCTAGCAGTTGTAACACAGCGGACGAAGTCCGCAGTGGTCATGTTAAGGCAAGGAGCGTCTCGACAAAATCCCGGAATCTTAGTGGTTGGGCACCTGCGATTTTGCCTGGGGAAGGCCCAGTTCCAACTTCGTCGCAGTAACTTAAGGACCCTCCTGCCCATCCGGACCCCCCGCGCCCCGCTTGGCCCCCCGCAACTCTTCCGCGGGGTCCTGATCTGTCTGCGTTTCTCGATTCCAGGTGGCACCGCCTGTTACCCACATTGTTCTTTCACTTACTGCACCAGCGGCGGCTCTAGGGGGACACAGGAGTGGAAGAGCACAGAAGTGGAACACACCCGCCCTACCGGAGGCCACGAGGAAGTGGCCGAGGATTAGGGTCAGGCAGGCGCTCGGTGCCCCCGACAACGCGAGGGCGAGAACAGGGAGGCCCGGAGCGGCGCAGGCGCCCGGTCCCGACGTCCTCCGGCTCGTGGGACGCACCCCCAGCCAAGGCCCGCACCCCGGGACGCGGGGCCCGCAGCGTACCTCCGAAGCACCGCAGCAACCAAGCTCAGGCTGCCCAACCCCCGCCCTTCCGGCCCGCCGCCGGAAACGGAAGTGTCGGTCATCGCCCACTTCCGGTCGGGACGCGGGTGGCGGCGGCGGCGGCCGAGACGGTGAAGCGAGTTCTCTTTGACGGCCGTTACTCTCCCGGGGAGTTCGCCAGCCTCTTCTCTCCCTTTCCCAGGCGCCCTCGAGGTGAGGGCGGAGCGGGGCCTCGATGCGGTGTCCTCCCTGGGAACTGTCCTTCCCCGTGTGGCGCCCCCATGGTGGGGTTCCCGTTCCCCGAGAGGCGGCCCCGCGGTGGGGTCCCCTTGCCAGTGGGTTGTCCCCGCGGTGGGATCCCCTTCCCTGTTATGTGCCCTAGCGGTGGAGGTCCCTCCCTAGTGGGGTGACCCCCTCGCTGTGCGGTACCCCCGTGGCAGGAGTGGCTGTGGAGGAAGGCTCAGCAGAGGAAGCCAACTCTGGCCTGTGCTGCCGGCCTCAGAGCCCTGAAATTTGACAGTCTGAAGACTGCGATTGGAAACTGCCGTTCAGACTTTCTGCCCTCAGATTTTATGTTTTGTCGTTTCTGGCAGATTCTTCGTTGGGTGTGCTCGGCCAGCTGGCTGGGTTTCACTGCCTGGATTGCCCACCCAGAGAAGGTGGTAGGAGAGGAGGCAGGCTGATGTTAACGTTGGGCCGGTCGGACTACCTTACTGTGTGTCCGCCAGGGCAGTTGGGCATCCATTTCTCAAGCTTAACATATGATTCCGAATCACAAGAGAACACATACAAAGTCATACACGCCATGGAATCTCCACTTGCAAGGAAGGGTAAAGAAAAGAATCAGGAGGAAGCAAATCCTCTTAAAAGTGTTTGCCTCTGGCATCTTTGTATTTGTCTGACCTGCCCAGATTTTCTGCATTGGCATACCTGGTTTCATAATCTGAAAAAATAGAAGAAAGCAATAGTGGTTACAATATTAGTCTATTTGAAAGAGAAGTGAGAAGAGATGCAGTGGGTACAGACAGAGGAATTATTTACTGGAAATCTACCATGGATTTCAGTTTTTTTTTTTTTTTTTCTGAAAATGTGGGAATGGGGAGTAAAAAGTTCTAAAAGGTGGGTCTTTTTCATATCTATGAAGTGGAAGTTAAATAGCTCGAATTAAAGGGAACAAATATTGGTTGTGTCCCCTCCTTTGCCAGCTGCTCAGCAGCAAGCTCCAGAACTGGGATGGTGTTGGCACTAGGCTGGTGCTGTAGAGCAGACACGATGTGACAAGTGATGTCTCACGTGTAGATGTCCATGTCTCCCTTAAGGTCAGGCTTTCCCATGCTGGAGTCCCAAAGGTTTGTGCTTTCGTTAAGGAGCTCATCCAAATTCAGGCTCCTTTCAGGTTTATTGGATTAAAGCATCTCTGACAGTGTTCCAGGGTACTCACCTGGCTGTTGAAGGGTAGATTTAGTGCCAAGGTAGGTTGGCAAGGGTAGGTTGCCTGCCTAATGATCCTCCTCTTGTGCACAGAGGCTGCCTGGAGTATGACACATGGTCAGATCCCACCTGCTCATTGGCCATGAAGGAGACAGACCGGGAGGCGGTGGCAACAGCAGTCCAGAGGGTTGCTGGGATGCTCCAGCGCCCAGATCAACTAGATAAGGTAGAGCAGTATCGCCGAAGGGAAGCTCGGAAGAAGGCCTCTGTGGAAGCCAGACTGAAGGTAGGAGGCCTCAGATGTCATGTGCTGAGTTTCTGGTTCCTACTTGATGTCATGTGATGCTTTTGCTAAATTAGAGTTTGTGACAAAATGGGAGGAGATAGAGCTGCACTTACTAAGCAGTTTCTTCCAACAATGTATTACCAAATGTCGATTTACAAAGAAGACTAAGAGTATTGAAAACATTATAGGAACTTTTTCGGTACTCAGAAAGACTCAGTTTGGCTTTTTAAAACAGTACCCACTTGTTCATGTAAAGCTATTCTGCAGAGTGCCACTAAAGAGAGTTCTGTTTCGATCATTTCAACACCTGTGATAGTGGGCTGGCCATATGTTGGCCTTATGGTAGAGGAGAGCAGGGCAAGACGTGTTATTATTAAGAGTTGTAGTGATGGTACTCTCCTGTAGCCCTAGCACCTAGAGGCAAAAGCAGGAGGATTGCTTGAGCTTAACAGTTCAAGGCCAGCCTGGCAGCATGGGTAAGATCCCCATCTCAAAAATAAATAAATAAAAATAAAATAAAACTAGAGATGTAGTTCAGCATGAGAGCATTCTCCTAGCTGCATCAAGCCTTGGCTTTGAGCCTGAGCACCCCTCTCCCAACACACACACAGTGTATAAGACTGAAATAAAGAAAATCATTCTTTTTCAAAGTACTGTATGATTTGGAGGGCTTTGACTTAAGTGATACCAAGAAGTGAAGTGTTATTAATCACCAGTCCAATTATTCAAATACAAGGTACAAAAATTGTATTCTTTCATTAAGTTTTTTTTTTTTATTATTTATTTATTCATTTATTTTGTGTGTGTGTAGCCAGCTCAGCCCACCAGGGGGCGGGGCTGGCTGGCATGTGGTGCTGGGGGATTGAACCGCTGTCCCTGTGCTTTGCTTAGCTTAGTTTGTTCTAAGTAGGTGCTTTAGACCACTGAGCCATCTCACCAGCCCCTTTCATTAAGTTTTATAAGTCAATATAACAAGAAATTTTTATCAAATTGATCAGTGTAAGAATGAACTGGTTAAAAAAAAAAAAAAAAGAATGAACTGGTTGAAATGACCCCAGCCTGAGCAGCACAAGGGATAGTGTGCTCCCCAAGTAACGCTGGAGGTAAACTGTTAAATGTTTAGACACATTTGGTATAGTTATAAGACATTAAAACCACAACCAATCATTGACATGCAGCAAAATGTTTTTAGGGATTTTAGAGTAAAGTTCTCAAGTTGATGGGCAAAGACTTCTTCCTGCTGAAAACAGCAGGCTTACTGCAACCATAGAGATTGTTTACTTGGTAACAAGTTACCGAAAGACTACACTAATCTGAGACGTCAGTTTTGTGCGAGTTTAAACAGTTGGATCTAACTAACTGCAATTTTAGCCTGCACTTTTATCTTTTGTGAAACTTGTGAGATTAATTAGCAGGTGTCAGTGGTAGCAGTAAATTAGAAACCTCAAGTAGTTATAATCATAGTCAAATATTTCTTATTAATTAATTAATTAATTTATTTGGCACGGGGTCTCACTACGTAGCTCAGACTTGTGATCCTCCTGTTTTCAGCCTGCATAGTGCGGGGATCACAGGTGTGCATTACCACACCCAGTTTCAGTGATCGGCTCAGTGCATAGAAGGGTGGGAGTAGGGCCAGGGCTGGCTCGGCATGTGATATGGGGGATCAAACCCCAGTCCCTGCACTTGCCTAAGCAGGCACTTAGTCCGCTGAGCTATTTTGCTGGCCCTCTTAGTTAGATATTCTTGAACACAATATTTTTTTACAGAAAAGTTTTTATTAATGCATGTTTGTAGTACATAATGATTATATTTAGCATGGGGACATTGTACATGTGCAGAACACATCCCAGTTCTTTTTGTTTTTGTCCACTTCCCTTCACATCCTTTCCCTCACTCCAACTCTTGTTCCCCTTCCCATCTGCAAAGGCTTTATTTCTATTTTTAATTCATTTTTTTAAAAACTTGCTTTTCTCTTCCTTCCTTCTTCCCTCCCCCATCTCTTGTTCCCTTTTACATTTAAAAAGGACCTCCCTACTTCTCATTATCCAGCTTTTATTTTGCTCTTTGCTTATACTTTGGGATTCTCATATAAGAGAAACCATGTGATATTGAAACTTGTATGTCTGATCCATTGCACTTAACATTATGGTCTCAGTGTGTGTCCATTTATCTACAAAAGACTCAAATTTATCCTTTACGGCAGAGTTGTGTTCTATTGTTTACAAATACTACATTTTCTTCATTCATTCATCAATTGATGGGCATATAGGATATTTCCAAGATTTGGCTATTATAAGTTGTGCTGCCATATGCAGCACAATTTGTCGTTGTTGTCATTGTAAAGTAATGTAATTTCTAGTTTTAGTGTTTTGAGGGATTTCCATGATGGTCTCCATAGTGGTTGTACTAGTTTACATTCTTACTAACAATTTAAAAGGATTCCTTTTACCCTCCAGCCTCTCCAGCTTATGTTATTATTTGATTTCTTGATAATGGCCTTTTTTTCTGGATTAAGGTGGTATCTCAGTGTTGTTTTAGTTTGCATTTCTTGAAAGGCCAGGGATATTAAATATTTTTTTCATGTGTTTATTGGCCGTTTGCTCTTCTTTTAAGTGTATTTATTTCAGTAGCCCATTTTTTGGTTGGATTTTTTTATTTTGGGAAGTCTAATTTGTTTTGAGTTCTTTATATACTTAGGTACCAGTCCTCTGTCTGAGGAACAGCTGGGACAATTATTTTTCCCATTCTGTAGGTTGTCTCTTTTCTCCATTAGTTGTTGGATATTCGAGGTATAGACATTTTTAATTGGATATGCTCCCATTTGGTAATTTTTGGTATTATTTCTTGTGCCATTGGAATTCTGTACAGGAAGTCCTTGCCTATCCTGTATCTTCAGGAATTTCTTCTTTTTATCTTCCAGCAGTTTGTTTCTATTTTAACATTTAAATCTTTGGTCAGTTTTTATTTCAGTTTACTAAATGGTAAAATGTATAGGTCTAAAAATCTTACGCATGGGTTAGCCAGTTCTCCAAGTGCCAGTTTATTAAAGTTACAAGCTTTCTTCCCTTTGGCCCCTTTATTGAAGACCACATAGTTGCATGAGTCTGGGGTTGTTTCTGCTTGTTCTGTTCTGTGTCATTGATCCTCATTTCTATTTTTATCACTGTAGGTCTATGATATAACTTCAGACCTGGGTTTTTGATGCCTCCTTTGCTATTGTTACACATAACTGCTTTTATTATCCTAGACCTCTGTTTCTATATGAATTTTTAGGTTGTTTTCTCTAGGTATGTGAGGGATGCTGTCGGTATTGAGATTGAGACTGTACTAAATTTATGTATCAATTTTGTTGAAGGATTTTTTTTGGTCCGAATACCTTCAGGGCAGGTTTGACTGGCTTGAGTTGTGGGGATCCAACCACAGCAACCTGAGCCTGACTGCTTTGTTGAAGCAGCCACTTAAAGAACTGAGCTAAGGGGCAGGCCCTCTATGTATCAATTTTGATAGCATAGCCATTTTGATTATATTGGTTTTGCCTATCCAGGAACATGGGATATCGTTCCATTTTCTAATGTTCCTTTCAGTTTTATTTTTGTCAACGTGATGTAATTTTTGTATTAGATGTCTTTCACTTCCTTTGTTAGGTTAATTCCTAATATTTAATTTTTCTTGATGCCACTGGATTGTTTTCCTAATTTTTTTCTCAGTGAGTTAATTAAAATGTGTAAGAGTGCTATTGATTTTTGTGAGTTGATTTTGTACACTGATACATTACTGGATTTGGTTATTCTAAGAATCTTTCAGTTTTGTGAATAATGCTACTTCGATTTCTTCCTTTTCTGTACATATCCCTTTTGTCTCCTCCTACTTGATTGCTCTGATGTTTTGAGGACTATGTTAAACAGGAGTGATGATAGTCAACATCCTTGTTTTGTTCCTGATTAATGTGGCATTGTAGTAGCTTCATCATAAATGGTTTTTATCAGACTGAGATCTGGTCCTTCTATGCCTATTTTTGTCAAGAGTTTTAATCATGAATAGATGTTGGATTTTGTCAAAAACTTTTTCTGCATTTATTGAGACAACCACATGATTGTTGTTCTTGTGTCTGTTTATGTGATAAATTACATTTATTGATTTGTGCATATTGAACCATCTATGCATCCCTGGGATAAAGCCTACTTGGTCGTGGTGTATGATTTTTTGATACACTGTGTTTGCCAGTATCTTGAGGATTTTTACAGCTATGTACATTAGAGATTGGCCTGTAGAGTGGTGGGCATGATAACAAGTCCAGGAGGCGAGGTTGTGGATGCGGGTGGCCCTTGCCTTAGCTGAGCATTGCCCTGCGTGGTCTGTTGGGGTGATGGTGCTCCTCAGGGGTGCGTGGGGTGTGCTGAGCACCCTGGGGAGGTCTGGGGCAGAGCTGTGCGCCGGCTGTGGAAGTAGACTGTGCTCACCCTTCAGTTTTATGTATGTCCCAAAATGGTTTTCATCCACCTTGAATGGATATCCGAAGAAACCTTTGAATTCATACGTTCGATTTGCTAAAGAAAAGATAAACATAATTAAAGCTCAGAACCCAGATATAAAAGTTACAGAAGTAATGAAAAGAATTGCAGAGCAATGGAAGGAACTTCCTAATGCAGAGAAAAAAAGCATCAGAAGATGCTTACGAGGTACAATTGAAGGCATACCAAGAGGAGATGAAGAGGATTCATGAAGCACTAACTCCAGCCCAGAGAACATCTGTGGCAGGAAATAAAACACAGAAACGTTTAAAAAGTGTGCTCCCAGTAGACAGGCACAGGAGCCAATTAGGTCTCAGTATTGGACAGTGTTGTAAAATTAGCAAGAATAATGTTGGCAAACATTTGAATTCGATTACTTTTTCTTTGTCTCCTGGATTGCTGCCACTTGAAGATACTTTGTGGTAGTGGTTTGAAAACCCAAACAGATGAACATTTGTGCAGAATTTTATTTTGTGTTTAAGACTG